TCAATACCATGACAAAAAACGAGTTAAAATCATGGTATATCAGAAACGTATTGATGATATCTTACTTGTTGATCCGCATAATCCGATATATGAAGAACTTCCAGACGGTGCGATTTTGGACGAAGCCAACGAAGATGAAATTGAAGAAAATGATGAGGTGGAAAATGTTTCTAAGGACGAGTGATGATTAAGTGTGTTTGATTATGTACTCTACCGTCAGTTGTATTTGATTCTGTTATAAAATACATTATGTTTGCATTATAAAATTATGATCCGCATAATATTCCGATATCTTAATTATGTTTGCAATATGAAATTTTTTTGGAGTTTCGAGATTTGATACATGTTTGCGGTTTGTGGTAATTAGGGTTTGGGGATTGGAGGTTTGTGGTTTAGGGTTTAGGGTTTGCGTTTGTGGTTTGGGGTTTAGGGTTTAGGTTTAGGGTTTAGGTTTAAGGTTTAGTGTTTAGACGACTACATTACGACTAATAAATAATTGGAGTCTAAATAGTCGTAATATTACAACTAAGTTACAACTAATTGTTGTAACGTAGTCGTAATGTTTCGACCCTAATTGGTCGTAATATACAGGTGAACACACATTAGTCGTAGTGTCGTCGTAACGCGTAGTCGTAATACCTCTTGGTCGTCCATTAGTCGTAATATTACGACTATAATATGATTATTGGTCGTACATTAGTCGTATAATTACGACTAATGTACGACCAATCTCAAAACTGTATATATAGGGACCTCGCGGAAGCATTTCAGTTGCTCATTCCCTTTTCTCTAACAACTACTCAACATCTCTCTAGGTAATTGTTTTTTTTTAGGTGGTTAGTTAGGTAATTAGTTTAGGTTTGTAATTAGTTTAGGTTTGGAATTAGTTTAGGATTGGAATTAGATTTATTTGAATTTTTTAATTTAACCCGTTTATGTTTTTTATAATTTCAGATATATACATTTCGCTATGTCTGGTAGAAAGAGAATCTGGAACCTCGCGGCTAGAAACTCCTACGAGAGTAGTTTTTTCGATCAGTCATCTAACTGGGCTGGCACATCATCCGGCGGCACCTCATCCGGCCCTGACCCGGTTCCGGAGACCTAACCGGCACATACTACTCAGGAGCAGTATGTCCCTCCGTATTATCCGCGAATTGAGGATGATACGGATTTCTTCACTTATGAGCCGGAACCTGAGTATGTCCCTCCGCCTCCCCAGAACCCGCCACAAAAAATCCTTATCCGGCTCCTCAGAACCCGCAACATGCCCAAAACCCGCAACAAAATCCTTATCCGGCTCCCCAGAACCCGCAACAAAATCCTGATCCGGCTCCCGGTCTTCATCCAGATTTGATAGTGCCGCCGAATGCACAATATGCGAGATATACGGTGGAAGATATTTTCGGGATGCCGGGCCGAGAAGGTTTACGAATTGTCGATCCGGATCGACGCCCGGCACGTTTTGGTAATTATTCTAAATTATTTAATTAAAGTTTGAATTTTAAAAATTTATTTAATATTAATATATATTAATATTAATATATATTAATATAAATATATAAATTCTTTCAAATTTTGTAGGTTTTTGACGGACAATGATTTAGGACAGAGCGTTGGGGATATCATTCGGGCAAATTTTTGGCATGCCCACCCCAACTGGACTCTTACACCGGACCACGTTTGCATTACGTGGTTCAAGTGTTTCGCGGTTAGTTTCTCCATTTTTTAAAAAAAAATAATTCATGCATTGATAGTATATATAAAGTACTAATGTTTTTTAATTTTTCATAAAACTTTTGTAGCAAAAATGTAATTGGTCCATTGGTGTCAACGTGGAGGTCAAATCTGGGTTCTACAAAAAGGCGATGCAGCACCTCAAGAACATTGTTGGAGATTGGAAGGACGACTGGAGGCTAAGACAGGATGACGCAAAACCAACCTACCTCAGCAATGACGTTTGGGTTGGTTTGGTGGCTTTTTGGATGAAGCCTGAGTCAAGGGCGAAGTCTACCAAGTACTTTGCGGTCCGGTTGACCAAGGATGCTCAAGGTAACCCGCCAGTTCCTCATACTTCCGGGCAGACTCCACATGCTGGGAGGGCACTTGAAATTGTAAGTGTTTGAATATTCTTGATTTTTTTTTATGCAAATTTTAAATTAATTTATTTTTTATATAGGCCGCCAAAGAAGGAGCGCCACCATCTCTCGCTCTGCTATACAAGATTACCCACCAGCGTTCTAATGGGACTTTTGTGCATTCTCAAGCAGAAAAGATCTACAACGAGGTAGAGGCTCGGATCGAAGAGGTCCAGACTCAGATGTCGCAACAAAATCCGGATGCTCCACCGGTCCAACTTTCAACCATCGACCAAGACAAGATTTTCGAGCAGGTAAATTATTTTAATTTTTAACTTTATTAACATTTTTAATTTTTTAATTAAATTTTCACATTTTTACTTAATTATATAAATATAATTAGTAAATAAAATTTGATCTTTTGTAGGTTGCTCCGAAGAAAAGGGGACGTATTGTTGGGATCGAACTGTGAACGATGTCCCGAGGGCGAGGGCCGAACATGCAGCAAGAATAGAAAAAGATTCCTCTCTCCGACAGGAACTAGCAGCTGCCAACAAAGTCATAGACGAGCATAAAGACAAGTTCAAGGCTATGGCGAATATGTTCGATCTTATGATGGAGACCTCGAACCCAAACCCGACGGTTGCAAATGCATGGCAAGCTATACGTCCGAGCTTTAACCCCGACCCCACTTTGGAAGAGCAAGTGGATATTGATCGACATGCGGAGCAGCACACTTCCGAGTTCTTCCAAGACATGAACCTCAACAAAACACCTTAATTTTTTCGGTTTTTTGTATGAATACTTTATATATTATTTTAATCAAATATATTTTTATATATATTTTTAAAAATTTATTAATTTAAAAAAACGAAGTAAAAAAAAATCAAATAAAAAAGCAAATAAAAGATTTTATTTAAAAATAAAATCAACATTAGTCGTAAATTAGTCTTTAATTTACAACTAATGGACAACAACAGTCGAAGTTACTTAGTTGTAATATTACGACTAAGTAATTACCAATATTTACGTTTGCTTTACAACTACTACTATTACGACTCATTAACTACTAATTATATTACGTCGAATTAACTACAAAACGTTTTACGACTACGTTACGACTGCATATGTCACCTCAATATTACGACTAATGCCTTAGTCGTAATATTACTACTAGGTTACGACTACGGCCTGTGGATGTAATATTACGACTACTTTACGACTTATTGTGCATTACGACTAGCGAATAACGACCAATGGGTTTTCGATGTTAATTGGTCGTAAAATGCATATTACGACCAATTAACAACCAATACTGTAGTCGTTAGACACATGTTTTCTTGTAGTGCTACCATTAATGAGGAATGAGTAAGAAACTGAACTAACACATTCTATGATCCATTTCATCCACGTAGGGTGAAAACCCATTTGAGACATAGTATTTCTCAAGAAATTTCACTCTAGACGATTATAGGCTTTATTCATATTTATTTTCACAGACATCGAGTCTTGCTTTCTTACCGTTGAGGTGTGCAAGTAATGGAATATTTTATGCGTGATCAAAACGTTATCAGAGATAGATCTTTCCGTCATAAAAACTGACTGGTAAAGTGAAATGATGTCGGATATGAAGAGTTTTAATAACCTACACATGATTTTTGCTGTGATTTTGTAATGTGTAAAGCACAAGGCTATGAGGCTGTAATCCATGATTGTTTTAGGAAACTTGATCTTCGGTATTAGGTGGAAGTAGGTTTCATTATATCTCCTACGTAACCCGTGTTCCTCAAAGAACCGTCTAATGTTTCGACATATTTTCTCCCCTAAAATTTTCTCAAAAATTTTCGTAGAGTGCTTTGTCTTCATGAATAGCAAACACCATATCCTTTATCTCTATAATTCTAATAAGATATTCATTTATGGTGTCAGAGATATAGGGTCTAATGACCTCTACAACAATTTATGAATTTAATCGACATATTTATATTTATAACAAATATTTAATCGAAGAAACGCCAGTTCTGTCTGAGAATTAATTCTCAAGAAAAAGATCCCGAAACAAAGTTAATGATATTTGCTAATAAGTTCACATGAAACAAACTATTCTCAAGATATTTGAACTTGAAAGAAAAAGAGGAAGCAAATCCTGATGTAAATGTCAATTCCTTTATAGCTATTAATACTTGAGACACCACCAATCCACCGTTCCGCGCAAGGCTTCCAAAAAATTGTTGCATACAAAAGATTTCTTCTAGGGAGAGGTGACTCATTTACCTATAAATACAAATAAAATACACAATTTGAATTAGGAGATTCAAAGCTTGTGCATCTAGCAAACGAAGAATCCTCATCTCCGTCGCAAGAGCATATGCACTGACTTTTCTGAAGTTGAAAATGTGAATTTAAATCATGAAAGTTCGTCATCAAATCAAAACAGGGACACCACAGCAATCTAGTACTTTGGCTAAGATAAATCTTAACCTAATTTATGTGCCACCCTGAAAGCGAGGCTGATTTGCTCTCTCCAAAAACAACTCAAAGGGCTTGGCCATACAGAATTAAAGAAAAGTTCACATGTACACAAGTGATAAGTATGTTCTTTATCATGTCTGATTTATTAATTTCACTTTTAACATATTCGATTGTGTTAAATAAAACATTTATATCTAAAGAAAATCAGATTGCATTCAATTCACGATCCACTTTTTGAAATTTGCATTACTTTTTTCAACACTAAAGAGAGTTCGGTTAAACCGAAGCCATACTGTACTGTAATCTAGCATTTCAAAACAGAACCAGAGCTCATCTGTTGTCTTAACATATAAAGCCAGTACAAACTCATAACTCCTCGGTTTAGAATGGTCATCTCCTCAACCAGACCACATTTAACCCAACAACAACTTCTGATTTAGTTTTGGGGAATCACATATCAGAAACAGACCAAAGGTAAGCTTCTCTTTCCGTTGCTTTTTTCTCACTTGTCTTCTTAAACCTATCCTTCTCATGTCCTACAAACCACAAAAAAAAAAAAAACAGATTACATAAAAATAAGCTTCCAATGGATTTTTTTTCATTTTATATGTACAAAGGCAAAACACACATTCAGAAGACAAAACTTACCGGTACTGCGGTCAACTCCATCCCAATGTCTACCGGGCTTTATTCCATACCGATTAGGTGCAGCTTCTAATCCTCTTGTTATCCAGCTATGCTTTGGGATACTTTGTGGAATGACAAACCCAGATTTTTTCATATCCTCATTGTCCCCTAGATCCATAAGAGGTGTCTCGTGCTGTTTTTTCTGCGATATAGAGATACGGTGATATGTTACGATATTGTTTTAATTCAAAGGCAGTCTTTGGTTAGTGATTGTTTTGTAGAAAGTACCTTGACCAAATGAGCCATTGGATCTCCCCATCTAACTCTTTCTTTCATCATTTGATCAAGCTCGGGATCATCCCTGAAACGACATGGATATAACCTTTTAAATAACAGCCAAGTAGAAAATAGCTCAACCTCTAGCTCATGAGTAAGACCCGACATAATACCTGGTCCGAGCAAATGGCTTATCCTTCTCAAGCTCAAGTTCCTGTAGTCTAGCTTCAGCATCACGCTTCTGAGCTAAACCTTGGCCCCATTCCAATTTGATCTCCTACAAAGAGTTAGTCACTTATGTTGGTAACTGTTTTTTTCTCAGTTACTCAGATTCACAATTCATATTCTGTGAGCATAAAGTTAACCAGCAAACAGTACCTTTGGCTTCTCTATCACTTTCTTTTGCTTTGATTGAAGATATTCCTCTTTTGATATTCGCTTCCCTGAAATAACAATAAGCAACCATATGGGAGTGAGTCATGTAATTATGCATTCTCACAGAAAATTATAGGGAGCTAAAACCTATAATCGGTCCTTGCCTGTAATCTTGTCACGGAACACTGCTTCTGCATTCTGGCCAGTCAGCTCGGAATCCATATTTTTAAACCTGCAAAATAGTTTAACTTGTCAAAACGGTCTCTTATGAAGTCCCAAAGACATAAAAAGACAATCTTAATAAAAAAAGGAATGATACACCCGAAAGAAGAGTCTGCTTTTGAATTATTACCTCAACTGTTCATCCTGCTTCTTTTTTCGATATTCACTTCCAATGTCTTTGCCACTAATTAATCCAGTCTTCCGTTGCTCCTTGCTTGTTTGAGGAGGTGATGATTCTCTGCGCGGTCTCCTTGGAGGAGAGTTATCAAAATTGGAACTCCTGGACACAGTTTTTCTTTGAGGGGAAAGATCCGAGTCTCGAGAACCCTTCACACTCACACTCCTGCGTGGTGGAGATATATCAGAGTTTGAACCAAGAGATTTTGAAGGCTTTCTACCCGGTTCAGGTGATGGAGAATGATATCGTCTTCTTCGTGGAGGAGAAAGATCATTGCTCGTCTTGTTAACATCTGAGACAGGTGAATCCTTCTTCCTGCGAGGCGGTGATAAATCACCATCCAACTCAGCTGAATCTGAACGCTTCCTGCTTCTTTCAGGCGATGGAGAATGAACACGTCTCTTCCGAGGAGGAGACAGATCTTCACTCATACTTTTGGGGGGTTTATCTTCAGGTTCTGGTGAGGGTGAATCATTCCTGGCCCGCCTTTTGCGAGGTGGTGTCAAATCAGAATCCAAACTAACAGGCTTTGCATGTTTTCTGTTAGGTTCAGGTGAAGGTGTATAGTGACGTTTTCTCCGACGTGGTGGTGACATGTCTGTTTCAGCAAGTGAACCTCTAGGGCCAGGCTCAGGAGATGGAGAGTCGTTACGAGTCCTTTGTCTCCTTGGAGGAGAAATATCATCAGATCTTTCGTGGCCACCTCGGTCTGAAGATAAACTCACCCACCCACTCCCATCCTCAGCAATGGCATTCTGAGCACGCCTTGCCTTGATTTCCTCCAACCTCCTCATTCTCTTAACTTCAATGTCCTCATCAACCACAGGCCTTTCGTCTGTGACAAAACAGAAAAAAAAAAAAAAAAAAAAAAGAAAAGAAAGAATCATATCAGTGTCAAAAGCTACTCTTT